GGGTAGTTCTATTTTTAACTTCTTGAGGACCCTCCATACTGTTTTCTAGAGTGGCTGCACCAGCTTGCATTCCCACCAACAGTGTAGGAGGGTTCCCCTTTCTCCGTGTCCTTGCCAACATCTGTCATTTCCTGACTTGTTAATTTTAGCCATTCTGACTGCATTTTTAAAACATTTTTTATTGTGGTAAAATATATATAGCATGAAATTTGCCATTTTAACCATATTTAAGTGTACACTTTGGTGGCATTAATTGCATTCACAGTGTTGTACAACCATTACTATGATCTATTTCCAAATTTTTTTCATCACTCCAAACAGGGACTCTGCACATTAAGCAGCAGCTCCCCATTCCCTCCTCCTCCAGCGCTGGTGTAACCTCTACCCTGCATTCTTTATCTCTGAATTTGACAATTCAAGATATGTTGTAAAAGAAGGGTCATGTGATATTTGTCATTTTGTGTCTGGCTTATTCACTTAGCGTAATGTTTTCAAGGTTGATCTGTATTGTAACATGTATCAGAACTTAAAAATTAATGCCTTTTTATAGCTAAATTAATATTCCATTGTATTTATATATCACATTTTGTTTCTCTGCCCAGCTCAGCTTGCTTCTGCCTTTTGGTTATTGTGAATAATGCTGCAGTGAACACTGGCATACATATCTCTGTTTGAGTTCCTAGAATGGCATTTTGCAAACTGAGAAATATATAGAAATATTAGTCATCTGTATTTCTAATGTTGATTAAAATTATTTCAGGGCACCTGGGTGGCTCAGTTAGTTGGGCGACTGCCTTCGGCTCAGGTCATGATCCTGGAGTCCCTGGATCAAGTCCCGCATCGGGCTCCCTGCTCGTCAGGGAGTCTGCTTCTCCCTCTGACCCTCCCCTCTCTCATGTACTCTCTCTCTCTCTCTCATTCTCGCTCTCTCAAATAAATAAATAAATCTTTAAAAAAAAATTATTTCAGTGTAACTTAAGTATACACAGCATAAAACTAAGACCTACTTATGCTTTTTTTTTTAGGGTTTTATTTTTAAGTAATCTCTATACCGAACATGAGAGCCAGCCAGGCACCCCAGAAGTCGTGCTTATAGCGCTTGTAAAATCAAAACCAATTTTTCAATTAAGTAAAAATAAAAGTATAAAGTCAACATAACTAAAATATTTTCATCAAATTACATTTACTGAAAATAAATGGCTTTTGTTGATGTTGATAGTGTAAAAAAAATTTTTTTGGCACAATGGACCATTATATTTAGCCTTCATCATTAGTATGTTTCCTTAATAACAGTGAACTTCTTAAACCACTAAGCCATTATTTTGATGGGCAGTCTATTTGCTAGAGTATTCCAAAACATAAATCTGGAAAACAACAATTTAAAGAGAAGCTTTTTGTTACTATAACAGTTGCATTAACGAACTGTTGGCAAGCAGGTGCCTATAAAGGCAGATCTACAGAATACATCCACTTGCTGTCAGATGCTGATCGCCACAGCCCAGATTTTAGTCACTTGGCTAATCCCACAGTTCTTTCTTTCTTTTTTTTTTTT